GAGGAGGGTGAGGAAGGAGACTTTCTTATGACCTGCAGGCCAGGGGGTTAGGATACACATTCAGGATGTGGGAGAACCCCTGCCCCCCCACCACCAACTGAGAGAGGAGGTGAGCAGGAATCTGCCCCCTCACAGCTGAGCGGCCTATGCACTAGGCTATAGAGGCACTTGCTCTCTCTAGCCTAAGTAATATTTATTTAGTGATTTAAAGTAGAAAGTTTTCAACAAGCAAGAGAGCCCTCGGCCAGGAGGTACAGAACCCCTCTTGAAATCCCATCTCATCAGACAGGGGTGGGGATAGAACCAGGATCTCCCACATCCATTCTGAGTACCCTCACCCTCGAGTTATAAGGGAGCAGAGCCACTCCAGGACTGGTCTGGGGGGAGGTAGGTAGGCACTTAACATTTTTGCAAGAAAGGGCTTAGGTGCTGAAGCTGCCTGGCTCTAGGAGAGGAAGTCCCATCTGCAGATCACAAGTAGAGCAAGGCATTTCCCTGCAGCCCAGACAGAGCACTGCTCTTCTCACTGAGTAGGCACCTGTCATGCTGCCAGTAGGGCTTATGTTTACATGGCAAAAGCAACTGGAAAATAAATTAAAACAAAGCTGGACGCACAGCACACCCTTCGCTTCTGAAAAAAGTCACGGTGTTTTTTTACAGCAGGCGCAACTGCTTTAGAGAAATAACATAATTTGCATCTCAGCCACTAAAGGAGCACACAATTAGCAAGAACTCCATTACGTGAAAGACAGACCATGCATAAGCATAAAGATTTTGAAAACAGGCACTTAGCAATTACTTCTACATGTCATACCTTGAAAAGCAGAATGTAAAGTTTACTTGTACAAAAGGAGATCCCTTGTTAACTGAATCTGGGGGCACAAAAGCAGATTCTACATAGTGATTGATTCCCCCCCATTTCCAAAAGTTTCAAGAAAATTAGCTAAAAACATGATAGTATTAATTGACAATACAGTACTTTAACAGCTCCTGGGGGCTCAAATATACATTATCAATTAAAAAAAAAGGCACCAGCCCAAGGAATTTTAATAAAAGTTTTCTAGTTTGTTTTTTTAAAATAATTTATCTATACTGATAAAGCTAAAGTAGTACAACTGCCCTAGTATGTACAAAATTATTCTCATATGGGAAGGGGAAATAAGCAGCGTGTCACCTTTGTGTAATTACAACCACACTAGGGCGTATACTGGTATAACTCAGTATATTGGTAAAAAACAAACAAAATACCGCACAGTCTAGCCTCATTTTAAAAAGGAACTAGAAACGGAATTTCTCATAGATCATCATTCCAGGAGCTGAAACTTTACTGTGAGATATTGGCAACTAAACCTAACTGACAGAAGGATATTTTAAGAAGGCGGCTGGAGTCAAGATTATAGGTTAGGGATAGATTACTTGGGGGAAAAAACCCAGTGATCTGCACTCCTCTGCAGTGCACAAGAAGAACTACTAAAGCACGTAGGTTGAAGGCAAGAGAGGAAGCTATGGCAAGAACAGACAAACCTGAAATGTTTTCAGAGTTCCTGCTTTAATCAGCAAGCTAGAGTTTGGGACAGGACAGCAAGTCCTCCACCACAGGCAACCAGCACTGGGCTAAGTACAACCCCCCCTCTTTTTATCTTTATCCTGGCAGGATTTACTTTGTTGTGTCTTTCTTATTTTAAAATAGGACACACTGAAACAGTGTTGTTTAAAAATTAAGTACACGACAGGTACAGCTTTCCATTATGCACACTTCATATCCATTAGCTACTGCTATCCTAACCCATTCCATAATTAGGTAAACCTAATTAGACTGTTTAAAAGACCTCTCTGTGTTCCCTCCAGTTTAATAAGAATGGGTGATAGCTGCAGGTGTTTAAATCTCTTAGTAGACTAAGATACTGTATTTAAAGAATATCCCAAACTTTGTGTAATGGCCATGGCCTGTGGCTGGTTTAAGATGCATCTCTGGCCTATTTCATATTCTAAGACTATTTCAGGTTGGTGACCTATTATTCACAGCCAAAGATTTCTACAACCCCCTTCCATTTACTAGGAAAGAGGGGGGAAAAATGTATCAATATCACAACAATAAACCTGTCTCATTTGTGTGTATTGAGAAGCTTACAGAACAGTTGACGTTGAAGGGTAAAGGTGTACAGGGAGTGAGATTTTCTTTGCTTTAGATTGTATGGTAGTTTTATAATGCTTAACGGCCCCCAATTGCCTTTCACCTCCCTCCCCCTAGTGGTTGCCATCCACCAGTTGAAAAACACTGTTCTAAGAGATTTAAAGTAAGATGTTAATCTTTCAAAAGCGATACTGGACATTTGTTAAACAGTTAATCCTCAGCTTACTCTGGGGGAACTTAAGCATTGTTTGACTACTTACACTAAAAGAGTTTTTGTTCAGCCCTTGACTTAAGTACTATGGCAATTTTCAGTTGAAGTAGTTTTCATTTGCAACTAAAAAGAAATCCATTCATTCCAATCCTTTATATACACTCTACAGCAGCACAGTGCTTTCCTGCCAAAGATATATCACTTTACAAGTGAAGTTTACAAACAAAATGTGATGTGCTATCCCCATTTCAGTGCAAGGTAAAGCAAGGTGCAGGCATGTCACTTAACTTTTCCAAGTCAGTGAGAGGCAGGAACCATAACTTCTGAATCCTGTGCCTTAACCACAAGACCATGTTTTCCTCCCACAAGATGAAAAAAAGCTGCAGATTGCAGTAAACTTGATACACTTCCATAAACATTTCCAAACCAGTGGGTGCAGAGTACACATTAACTGTAGTCCCAAAGTATACTCTGGATTGATGTTTTGCATTTATATACCATCTATGTGAGGTTTGATCTGTCATGATTCCATTTCTGCTTATGGACTTTTGCTGCTACTGCTGGCAAAGGAGCTGCTAGTTGCAGAGTTTGTATTGGCAGGTACCAACCTCTCTCTGCTTCCAAAAACTTCATTCACTGCAACACAAGAGATTACATAAGTGCTAGTATCCTGGAGAGAAGATCACTACAGTAGCTAAAGCATGGTTTACAGTAATGAAATGGGAATCTTAAACTTAGTCGAACAGAGTCTTGAAAGCTTTTTTTCCCAAACCAGGAGGGTTTAAGTTTTATGTTTCAAAACAAAGGAATTATCCTAACTAAATACATTAAGAGGAAGGCATGGTACTTCTCCCCCACAGAGACGCTGGCTGCTGTTCTGTGGTCATGTTGCAAATGGTCTGTGATTGTTCTGTCTGAAGATAAGTGTGAGAAAGGCAGGTTGTTTCCTATGTACTTAAGTGGTATCCATCTATTCACACTTGGAGATAGGCTAAGTTTTGCATAAGGTGTTATGCTTAAAATTTAATTCTGGTTTTAGGGTTTAGATTTTCATTTGATTTCTGCATGGCTTTAAAAAGGTAGATCCAACATCACTACCGTTTATTACACTTGATAAAAATACAATTGGGCATGCGGCCAAAGCCAGTTCCCACTGTTGCAAACCACAGCCAAAAGTTTTTTTTGCATATTAGAAGCCGGTGGTTCTAGAGACAAAATATAAAAAGTAACTGTGAAGATCCTCAACCTCAGCCATACAGCCAGCATTAAAAAAAAAAAGTACATCGGACTGAAACAAAAAGAATAAACTATACCAATATCACCTTTGTATACACATTGAAAGAAAATACGTCATTTTTAACAAACACTGGAGGCTTCACTTCAAAAAAGTTGATTTTTGTTAAGAATTTGAAGATACCCTTTTTTATTTTTTTTAAAAGAAGCAGGATTCCACCACTTTCATTGTGAGAGTGCAATGCCATATTTCAAAGCATGAGATCAAGGCATCTATTCCACTTAGACTGAAACCTCACGAGGGCAGAGACTAATCTACCCAAAGTGCGTGGCACACTGTTAGCAGCAGAACAACGTAACAGGATGCTGGACACACTTCATTACCCACCGGAAGCCTGCAGTTCTCTCACAACTGCCTTGTTGCTTCATTTGATGTATTACTGGACATGCAGTATATTAGGGAGAAAAAATAGAATCCTGAAACTCTGAATAATGAGATGATGTTACCTGCAGAAATACTGCTTATATCCCAGACTCGAAGCCCTTCTCTCTCCCCTCCAAAGGCATAGACAAATGGCAAATCAGGGCAACAAGCTGCACAGAAGAGAACACCCTAGAGGAAAAAATATTGTTTTAATGTAAAAAAACCAGTCACCTTAACACACCTTGACAGAACAAGTTAAACAAATGTAAGGCCCTGCTATGCCTCTTGAAAACTGATTTTGAATGATTTTGTAAAAATTGGATATTTTTAAAGCAGAGGCTGCCAGTCGTGTGTTGAATTGTGTGATGTACTAACAGTACCCAGGACAAGATGCCCAATTCATCTGAAGTGTTAAGGAGAACAAGACAATGAAGCCTGGTTAAAATCAGAAGTGAGCTCTATTAATCATGGTTTATAAGTAAACTTTCTTAGAAGTGACCTATAAGTTACCTACCATTTTCATATCCCTGGAATGGATCAGACTTGGTTTGTCCCCCAGTATATCCCAAATTTTTACATATTTGTCAGAAGATGATGTCACAAGGCACCCTTTGATCTGACTGCTTAATTGGAGTCCTGAAAAGTTAGAATAGATCAGTTTAAAAATCACCATTTAATTGTTACATATTTTTCTTCCCTGTGTAACATTTTAAAGGGAAGTCGAAAGAACTTCAGTCTCCATGTGCCTTAAAGGAAGCAGTGTGGAGACTAATAGAAACATTGCGCCCCCGCCCCGCACTTAGTGGGAGAAGCAGGGATCCTTCTGGCTGTGAAAAAACCTTCAGTGTCCCTGTCTCCTCTGGCAGTAACCAGGACCTCTTGGACTTCAAATCATGGCTCAATCCTCTCCTTCCAATTGCTAATTCCTTACTTCATGGCTTCTCTGAAAACTGTTCAACCTCATGGCCTCCTCTTTCAACTATGAGTGCGAGACCTCTTTTTGTTATCCCAGACTATGTGCTCATTTTTGAGGCAGTTGCAGCGTGTGTACGTATTAGTATTAATAATCATTGATCCAGAGTGTGAGAGAGATTATTAATCTAAAAAACTAAAATATAAAAAAGATCAATGGTGTTTTGGGTTTTTTTGTTTTTGCAGAATCCTCTTCATGCAGGAATAATTTTGTGCAAACTACTTCATTCAAGAATGTGAACCAAACCAGTGAGATCTGCTTTGCCATTTTTATTCATGTAATTCTAGGAGAAAAATGCATTATGGTCAAAACATGCATCCCTTAAAATACAACTCGACCAAGAGGCCATTTAAATGGCCAGCTACCATGATTAGTACTAAAGGTTTTTGCTAAACAAAAGGCTGCCTCTCTCAAACAAGTTCATATTCACTTAACTATTTAAAAGACTTATTCCAACTACACATTAATGGGCACATTTTAAATATAAAAGGAAGATATAAAATTTACCAGATACTTCCTCATTATGAGCCTTCAGAGTAAAAAGTGGCTTATCGGAACGAGCATCTAGACAGTACACAAAGCCATCTTCTGTGCTAGCCTGGGGAAAACATTACTTTGTCAAAAGAAATTGCCATATCAATTCACGAGAAACAGCCTAAGAATTAAGCATCCAATCTAAAGTTTGTAAAATCCAATAAAATTCAGATTTTATATTATAGTATCCTGAACAAGATGAACACTAATTTCTTAAACAAGAAATTACGCTTGATTAAGCTTGCACTTAGATAGCTTGCACACCTGACATGCTGTATGACTCAAACACTAGGTAATGGGGTATGTGATGGAAAACACCCCTGAGTTCACACCCTATGCACTATTATAATAACCTTTGTATAAGGTATGCCTTGTGATGTATCATTTGAAAACTCAACTTGCTGATCAATAATATCAAGGTAAAGTGCACATAGCAACATTATATGTAAAGTTATGAACATAAGCTAAAATCATGACTGAAGTACATTTCCCAGACAAGTCTTTGACAAGGAAGGGAGGCAAGGACCAAGAGATCTGCATCTCAACAAAGAAACAACATTGAGTCTCCTTCTTTCAGCAGACTACCTATCTCCTGGTTCTTAGCTGGAAATGCTTTTCAAAGAGGAACTATAAAAAAGGAGGGTCAAATACCCCAAGACACCATTCTCTTTTTCCCTGCCCACCTTATTCTCTACACCTGAGAATACACAGGAAACAGCCATGGAACTGTGGGGGAGAGGTTCTGATCTGAAGAGTTTGGTCAGTAATGCTACTAGAAGCATGTGGTGAGATATTTTGCTTGAATCTAATATAGTCTGTGAAGTTAGTTACAAGAAAAATAAAACATTTTCTAGCGCCTATTTCTGACTTTTATGCCTCATTACTTGTACTCACAATAAAACAAATTCATTAACTACAAAGAAATAGATTTTCAAATCTATCCCCGGTCAATAGTAACTGAAAAGTTATCTGATGTCTGGTCTATGCAAAATGAGTTGGTGGTCTTAGCAAAAAGGTGATTACTTCACAAATGTAATGAAATGCAAGTCACTTTTGGTGATTGTAAGTGAAGAAGTGAATGAGATGTGGAGACTGAATTCCTGTCTAACCCTGTTTTTTCATTAAAATTTCAGTATTTTTTGCTCAGCTACACTTGTGAGACAGTGCCTTCTAGTGCTTAAGTAAGGAATTAAAGTTGTCTCATCTACACTTAAAATCTTTGAAATAAAAATCCTGAGCAAGTAACATATCAGTACAGGGTAACAGTGAGGCGTAACAGGGCTGGCAGCAGAGGAAAATCTGCTTCAACCACCAGAAATTAATGAAACATGGCTAAGAAATAAGTCTCCAGGGTGATAAGGAAACAGCACAAATTGGCTTAGTGATGGTGTAACTGCATTCATGTGAAAAAAGATACCAAATTCATAAGTAATCAGTATTCTTAATTGTTAGTGGGTTATCAATCAAGGTGGAAAATGCTGATAGCTCAACTCAGTCCATGAAATAGCAGTGACAACAGCTGAATAGCTACACATTTATCTTTGATTAACAGGTAAAGTGCAACAACGATAGCCAAAAGTGTATGGTGAAAGAATATACAATATATACTCACTAAGAAGTTACAAGGTGAAAAATGATTCCAAGTCACTCTCTCAACCTGTCCACTAAACCGCCAGATTCGATGATTATCCTGTGGACTTCTACAGTCATACAGAACAGCAGACCTAGAAGAAATCACATCTGAACATTTCATGAAATTTGTTTGATCATCATCACCTAGCAATGTTTTCACTAATTTATTCATGAATTTTAATGGAAGCTGCTTCCAAACACAGGAAATATTTAGGTTTTCAGATTCACTTTTGAAAAAGCAAATAAAAGATGATGCTAAAGGGGTAGAAAGGATTTATATTATGCACCAAGGTGTTTCTTGTGGGTACAAGTACCATTCTGTTGAGACTAAATAAGGCAGATGAATTCCAATACAATCACTACACTACATAGGAAATACTATCGCAGAGGGGCCAGGATTATACACGAATGTATCACTTCAATATGAACATACATCATTTCATTTTACTAGTTTCAAATAACCAGTTTGTTAGAAAATAAAATATTAGTTAGGAAATCAATTTATGAAAAATGCATCTTGTGTGTATTTTCAAATATGCTTTAAACAGGAAATTAAGCTTTAGAAGCGGCTGGGGAGATCCTATATTTAAAACGAGCGAGAGCAGATGAGAATGAGCGGCTCATGTGGGACTCTGATAATTCTTGTGTTGAGCCCAATGGGGCAGAAACTCTTCAAGTGGCAGCAAGCATGCCGAAGTTGTTTGATGTTAATGAAAGGAGGCAGGGATGAAAGTAAAGCCGAAGACTTACCAGTACGGGGGCTGGCTCCGGCCTCCAAAAGGGGTGGGGCCTTGGGCAGAAGGGGCGGGGCTTGGGGTCAGCATCCCCCAGCCAGCCCTTCCACACTGCCTGGCCCATGCTGCCCAGGGCTCCAGCAGTGATTTAAAGAGCCCGGGACTCCAGCCGCTGCTGCAACACCCAGAGCCCCAGGCCCTTTTAAATTGGCAGCCCCAGGGCAGCTGCTCCTTCCCCCCGCCCCCACGCAATTGGCGGCTGGAGGGGCGCAGCAGCAAAAGGGGCAGCGCTTTAAGCAGGGTCCTTTGCCGCGGCAGTGCTTTAAGGGACTCCGCAGGACCACCGACGGGGGACGCAAAAGGGCCAGCAACGTTAAAGCACTGCTGCGGCAAAGGACCCTGCTTTAAAGCCAGCGGGGTACGGGCCGGTATTGGCGAATACTTTTTACCGTCCCGTACCGGCTTACTTTTACCCCTGGAAGGAGGAAAGAGACACCATAGCTTTAGAAACCTCTTCAACTAAGTTAATACCCACAATGTAACCTGTTCCCACACTATCTTGTAGTTTAAAAACAAAAACATAAAAAAGCCCAAACAAACATTCTTCTGAAAGCCTCACGTCTTCCATCACACAGTAGAAAAGCACAATTTTAGCTATAGCATAGCTTTTAATAGATTTCCTTGACTTTTATGTCAAGAAAGCACATTTCAACAACACCCTCTAGAAGCCTTCAACTACTTCTAGGTCACAGGACACTTTAAGGAAATCAGTACAATGCTTTACAGGTGTTTATGGCATTGGAGGACTGTCTGCAGATGACTTGGTGAAGTCTGCCCCAGCAAAAAAAGGGAGACTGGACATAGGAGTAGACTCAAAACCATCCCAGAGGCCAGCTAAATATTTTAAGAGAATGTACAAGATTTCTAAGATAAGCTAAATGCAGCAAATGAAAAGGGGTGACTGCCTTGGATACATTTTTAAATGTGGTAATGTAAAGGGAAAGCATTAAAAACTAGAACAGAAATTTGACAGGAAAAAGCAGTTACGGTGAACAAATGAAATTACAGTGGGTACCATAAATCAGATAAAATTACTCCAGAACAGGTCCTTCTGAAGTAGTCAAATGCAAGCTTTGGAAACAAAGACCTGCTAAGAGATACCTAAATAAATTAATAACTGAAACAGGATGACTGGTATTTTAGCAGAAAACATACACGCAGGAAGTATAGCTAAGAAACAGCGAAGTGACTATACACCAAAGCGGGAACCTCTGTATTCCCCTATAAACACTTTATGTCCCTTTATATATTACAAACAAAAAACTACATTAAAAGAACATTAGTAAGGTCACAAAGTCAAGCACTTAAAGGTTAGGAAATGGCAGAATGCCTGTGCAACCTTAATTCAGCCCTCTTGTGAGCACACATCAGGAGAGAGTCTTTAAAGACATGATCACATCTGATTTTTTCCACAGGCCCCCTGCGCCTTATGCAGTGCACTAAATGGACGAGCAGCTACTCAATATTTTATCTTCTCACGGTGCAGCAGGTGGCCTCACGCCTTATTTACTACACACTGTTCAACCCCTGCTCCAAAGAGAGAATCTGCTCATTGACTTTTCTATAGTGCTCATCACTATAGTATTTGAGTACCTCACAAACATTAATTTATCTTCACAACATCTCTGTGAGGAGGTATTATCCCAATTTTACAGATGGAGATGTGAGGAACAGAGAAATGAATATCAAAAGTATCTACTCATTCTGGGTGCTCTATTTGAGACATATAGAACCTGATTTTTCAGAGTAGTTAACATGATATAGCACTTAATATGTTCAAAGCACAGCTCCGACTGACTATAATTGCAGCTATGAGTGCTCAGCACTTCTGCAAATCAGACCCCAGGGTCTCTAGTTTGGCATCCAGGAAATGAGGAATATACAATTAGTGGCAATCTGTGAAATATTTGGCTTAAGTGACTTGCCCAAGATCACACAGGAACTCACACAGGGATAGAATTCCTATTACCCAGGGATAGAATCCCATTTTCCAGGGCAGCATTCAACCTGAGACCATCTTTGCTCTTCATGCAGTTCCCTGCTTCATTTACTACACAGCTCTCAATTTCTGCAAGAAATGAAACCTGCATCCTACAGACAAAAGTCTTTCACTACAAAACCCCAATTCACTCCCAGATCGGGTCCATCCCATGTAACAAGTCAGGCAGGCATCCTGTGGAAAAAATAGTATGTGATCATATAATTGAAGACTGTACCATAATGCAGACACACAGGGGAGCCAAACTCAGGCTGCACAGGCAACCTTCATTCTAGCATTTCTGAACGCTTTACTTTTCAACTTTAATAAAGGCCTTTTTATGCAGTTCTGTGCAACTTCCTACATTTAAAAAAAAAGCAAACTAAAAACACCCAATTTCCATCATGTGGTATCGCACTGACAGACATGGCTCATCCATCGTCAGGGTTGGAACCCTTAGCTCCACTGTAGAGACATCCGCCACTTGAGCTAACAGTAACTGCTAATAGTAGGTTATCATCCTCTGTGTGGACCAACATTGGAGTGGGATGGGACACTTTGCCAGTGTATTTGCTGACAGATGAGGAATGTTGACACTCAGGAATCTTGGGTTCCATTCCAAGCTCTGGGGAAAAAAGTCTGGTCTGGGGCACAGACTTCTGCCTATTCCGCTCAAACATGATCCCCTGTGCCCCATCCTCTCCAACCTGTCCCTATTCCAATTCTGTCTCTGTCCCAGTCCCTATCTCCATTCCTCAGGCTTCTCATCCTAGTCCCAGTCACCTTGGCCGCAAGTCCTATCCTCACCATTCCATATAGCCCATTCCAGCTACTGTCCACACCCATTCCCAATTCCACTCCTCCTGACTCCTTAGCCAATCTGTCACTCTCATGCCTCCTGTCACCTCCCCCAACCCACATTCCTCATCCCCACGGCCCCCTATATCCCTCTCCTGGCTACTTGTCCCAGGCCCTTTGTCCAGCCATTCCCAGTTCTCCTTTTGCACTCCAGCTCCCCATCAGATCTGTTCTCCCCTCGCCACATCTTCTTCCCTCCAATCCACTAGCTCCAAGTTTGCTTGCCCAGATAGTCCCCCGACTCAGTCCTCTCCCCCCAATCTCCCATAGGTCTCATGAACCTAATCTACACCTCCCATAGGTCTGGTTTGTGTACCTTCTTCATTCAAATCAGCTTACTTCCTCATGTGTGCTATCTAGGCCCAATGGAGAGAGGAACAACAAGAGCACAGAAATCTCTACTGAGCATATGTGAACTGCAATTGTTCAAAGGCGTATAAATTGACCAGATTTAGGCTGTTTTTCATGGGAATGAAGAAATGCACCTTCCTGGGACAAAGGCCACCCCCTACTGCCAAACTTCAAGTACCTGATCCAAAGCATGGGATCGCTAGAGCTTTACAAAGAAAATGTAGCCAGGATTTTTACTTATTTATTTATTTGACAAGGGAAAATATTTTCCCCTAACCTCGTTTTTGGAAGCAGCCAAAACATTCTGGCTGAATTAATTAATTAAGAATTAGCATGAGGCAGACACCTGGCATGGAAAACTTCATCCCAAACAGTTAAAAATTGGCAAAGTTATAAGCTACAGAAAATGAGGTTTTAGAATAGGAAGTATCCAGCAACCTGAATAAAATGTGGTGCTACCACACCCACCTACAATAGTGCGAAAAGCAAATATTTCCCCACTTACTTATCGTAAGATCCAGAAACAAGGGTCTGTGTTTCAAATGGATGAAATTGTAGTGTCTGGACCTAATAAGGGCATTGAAAGTTTTAGAAACACACATTGGGATTTAAAATACATACAGGACATCTGTTTCAGTCAGTGTCATGCAGGATCAGGTATAGCACTATTCCATATAACTCTGTTATACTTGTTGGTACTCAAGACCTTTTCACAAAGCAGAGTATGCATCTAGCAATACAGAAGATGTATATTTTAGATTTCCAAGAGGACCTCACCAGAGGTGAAACTAGAAATACATGATTTGCCAAAAATCTTCAAAAAATAAGCTGGGGCGGGTAAAAAAAAATCTGCTTCCAGTTGGACAAAAACAACTGTATAGCTATGCATGCAGTAGCAAAAAAAAAAAAAAGACATGAGAAGTTTTCCAAGAGCAGTGACCTACTGATCTACGTTGACTAGATGATTGGGATTATATTAATAATTTTCACATTTTAATTACAAAAAGAGCTAAGTATTTCTAAAGCACCTGTCATCATAATATCTAGGTGCCATATATTAAAACTAGGGTTGTCAAGCGATTAAAAAGATTAATCGCGCTGTTAAACAATAATAGAATACCATTTATTTAAATATTTTGGGATGTTTTCTACATTTTCAACTGTATTGATTTCAATTACAACACAGAATACAAAGTGTACAGTGCTCATTTTATATTTATTTTTATTACAAGTATTTGCACTGTAAAAAACAAAAGAAATAGTATTTTTCATTTCACCTAATACAAGTAGTGTAGTGGTTTTCAAACTTTTTTTCTGGCGACCCAGCTGAAGAAAATTGTTGATGCTCGCGACCAAATGAAGCTGGGGATGAAGGGTTCAGGATGTGGGAGGGGGCTCAGGGCTGGGGCAGGGGGTGAGGGCTGCGGGGTGGGGCCAGGAATGAGGGGTTCAGGATGTGGGAGGGGGCTCAGGGCTGGGGCAGAGGGTAGGGGTGCAGGGAGGGGTCAGGGCTCTGGGCTGGGGATACAGGCTCTGGGGTGGGGCCGGGAATGAGGGGTTTGGGGTGCAGGAAGGGGCTCTGGATTTGGGAGGGGGCTCAGGTCTGGGGCAGAGGATTGGGGCACAGGGTTGGGGCATGGGCTTACCTCAGGCGGCTCCCAGTCAGCAGCGCAGTGAGGGTGCTAAGGCAGGCTTCCTGCCTGTCCTGGCACCACAGACTGCACTGTACCCCGGAAGCGGCCAGCAGCAGGTCTGGCTCCTAGGCGGAGGCATGCAAGTGGCTCCATGCAGCTCTCGCCTGCAGGCACCGCCCCACTCCCAGCTCCCATTGGCCAGGAGCTGGTGCTCTGGGTGCAGGTAGCGTGTGGAGCTCTGTGGCTCCCCCGCCTAGGATCCGGACCTGCTGCTGGCCGCTTCCGGGGTGCAGTGTGGTGTCAGGTAGGGACTAGCCTGCCTTAGCCGGGCAGCACTGCCGATGGGACTTTTAACGGCCCAGTCGGTGGTGCTGACCAGAGCAGCTGCGACCCAGTGCCTGACATTCTGCGACCCAGTACTGGGTTGCGACCTATAGTTTGAAAACCACTGTTGTAGTGCAATCTCTTTATCATGAAAGTTGAACTTACAAACACAAATTTGTACAAAAAAACTGTATTCAAAACAATGTAAATCTTTAGAGCCTAGAAGTCCACTAAGTCCTATTTCAGCCAATCGCTCAGCCAAACAAGTTTGGTTACCATTTGCAGGAGATAACGCTGCCCGCTTCTTGTTTACAATGTCACCTGAAAGTCAGAACAGGCGTTCACATGGCACTGTCGTAGCTGGTGTTGCAAGATATTTACGTGCCAGAGGCGGTAAAGATTCATGTCTCCCTTCAGGCTTCAACCACCATTCCAGAGGATGTGGGTCCATGCTGATGACAGATTCTGCTCAATAACAATCTGAAGCAGAGTGGACCAACACACGTTCATTTTCATCATCTGAGTCAGATGCCACCAGCAGAAGGTCGATTTTCTTTTTTGGTGGTTCGGGTTCTGTAGTTTCCGCATCGGAGTGTTGCTCTTTTAAGACTTCTGAAAGCATGCTCCACACCTCATCCCTCTCAGATTTTGGAAGGCACTTCAGATTCTTAAACCTTGGGTCGAATGCTGTAGCTATCTTTAGAAATCTCACATTGGTACCTTCTTTGCATTTTGTCAAATCTGCTGTGAAAGTGTTCTTAAAATGAACAACATGTGCTGGGTCATCATCCGAGACTGCTATAATATGAAATATATGGCAGAATGCAGGTAAAATAGAACAGGAGACATATAATTCTCCCCCAAGGAGTTCAGTCACAAATTTAATTAAAGCATTATTTTTTTAAACAAGAGTCATCAGCACAGAAGCGTGTCCTCTGGAATGGTGGCCGAAGCATGAAGGGGCATACAAATGTTTAGCATATCTGGTGCGCAAATACCTTGTGACGCCGGCTACCACAGTGCCATGCGAACGTCTGTTCTCACTTTCAGGTGACATTGTAAGTAAGAAGCAGGCAGCATTATCTCCCATAAACGTAAACATTTGTTTGTCCTAGCGATTAGCTGAACAAGAAGTAGGACTGAGTGGACTTGTAAGCTCTAAAGTTTTACACTGTTTTGTTTTTAAGTGCAGTTATCTAACCAAATAAATAAATAAATAAATAAAATCTACATTTGTAAATTACACTTTCACAATAAAGAGCTTGCACTACAGTACTTGTATGAGGTGAACTGAAAAATACTATTTCTTTTATCATTTTTACAGTGCAAATATTTGTAATAAAAATATAAAGTGAGCACTGTATACTTTGTATTGTGTTGCAACAGAAATCAATGTATTAAAAATGTCGAAAAACATGCAAAATATTTAATAAATTTCAATTGATATTCTATTGTTTAACGATGCGATTAATTTATTTGAGTTAATCGCGTGAGTTAACAGCGATTAATTGACAGCCCTAATTAAAACGTACCTGTGCTAGAAACATTGTTACCATTACTCATTGTCCTATAAAGGAACTACTGACAATCTAGCCCATTCTTGCGGGTCGATTCTTCTGTCACTTATGACAGCACTTTTAGGCTTCTCATTGTCTTAAAACAGTCATGGGGTTACATTTAGATGAAAAGTATTTTAAGACGCCCTAAAAAGCTGAGTCAAATATTCCCTCAAACTTTCCAAAGGATAAAATAAAACAGATTTTGACAGAGACCAAATAGTGTAATCCACAAAAGTGATTCACTCAGAAAATTATGAACGTTTGACATGGTGGTTATAACCAAAGCAGTTTTGCAACATTAGTGTTTGCCGCTAAGCTTTCAATGTAATAAGTTGCAGTTTGGTTTTTTTCTATATTTTACAACAGAAGAAATATAACAATATCCACATACCTTGTCCATATGTAAAGTAAGGTTCGCTGCCGGTTTACCCACAGACATATCCCACAGAATTACAGTGTTGTCAGCTGAAGCACTTGCTAACACATTTCTAACAACATACAAAAGCAAAAGCTTTAGACATTTACATATATGTGAACAAATAGTGGCCCTAAGTCATAAATACACAGCCTGATTCTGATTTCAAGTAAGCCCAGGTCTTCAGCCTACAACCTTCAAGCATAAAAAATAATCTGGCAGAAGAATATAACATTCAGTATTTAATAGCAATGTGTTACAATTTTCTGAACAGAAAATCCACTATTGTACTGAAGGGATAGACCTTTAGTGTACTGTTCATACAGTTGTGTGTTTCTCCCCCTTCTTCTCCCCCAAAAAATATTCTCCCGTCAATTATATGGTACCAGTGATATAACTAAGAAATTTGAGGACTTATTCCTTTCTGTATATTTTAAGATGGGGTTTTTAAATATGAGCTACACAGTATAGATTTGAATATTGTATTGACATAGCTAAGAGACAAACAAACCCATTTTTGGCAAGTACTTTCCTCTTCAGACTCTCCACTAACTAACTTAACAGCCCGAACCTGCAACTCTCCTCATAGAGTATCTTAGGCCTGGTCCACACTAACCCCCCCACTTCGGACTAAGGTACGGCAAATTCAGCTATGTTATTAACGTAGCTGAATTTGCAGT